GGGGCGGGGCGGGGGCCGACGGAAAGGGAAGCAGGGGGACCAGGGGCTGGGGTATACGGTCAGGGGTGGTTGGAGGAGGGGAAGAAATTGAAATGGAGGAAGAGAAGCTCTGCCAACGGTGACCTGGGCGAGGTAAGGAGTGAAGCGGGTGATGCTGGGCAGGGTGACCTGAGAGGGGGCTTCAGAGGAGCAAGAAGGCCTGAGACATAGGCAAAGTCGTATCAGATGGCACCTTAACCGAATGACTCCCAGCACCCTCAGCGTGCCTTTCCCAACCCCCTTGGAGGCGGAAATCGCCCATGGGTCCCTGGCTCCAGATGCCGAGCCCCACCAAAGGGTGGTTGGGAAGGAGCTCACAGTGAGCGGCAGGATCCTGGCCATGTAAGTTCTGAAGGGGACCGGGGTTGGGGTAGGCGGCCGACGGAGACATGGGGAACACCCAAGGATGAGCCCTAAGGAGCGCCAGGTGCGCTGGGCTGGTCTCTGCCTGAGGGGCTGTGTAATGACAGGGCTCCCAAGGGTTTGCTGTAATGGGTGCCTGAGGGGCAGAGCGAGGGACCAGGAGTTGCTACCTCCAATTTGATTTTCTTTTCCCCTTTTAGCCGCTGGAAAGCTGAAGACTGCCGCCTGCTCCGAATTTCCGTCATCAACTTTCTCGACCAGCTTTCCCTGGTGGTGCGGACCATGCAGCGCTTCGGGCCCCCAGTTTCCCGCTAAGCCTGGCCTGGGAAAATGGGGCGAGGTCTCACTTTACCTCTCCTCCTAGGCAGTGCATCATCCATCCTTCCCTAGGGCAGGAATTCCCAGTTGCTGCTTTCTTGAGGGCCTCATGGTCGGCTTGCACTGGCCTTTGGGTGCTCAGAGGCCCTTTGTGTTATCTGGTTCTTAAATGTTTGTTACTACAGAAAATAAAACTGAGCTACTAGTCCAAGTCTGAGTTTATTTTCAGCTGCAGCACCTCCCAATATTCTTGTCGTTGTGCTTGGGTTGCAGGGGAGGTTCCAGAATTCAGATACTCAAGGAGTACGAGGAAATTGAAGACAATTTAGGAAATGGAAGAAAATGAAAATCAATTGGGTTCTGTCATTCGGGATTAACTACTGTCAACATTTTGGAATACTTCCTCAGTTTTACAGTTGCATTTACGTAGTAAATGTGTAACTAATATACACCACATAATATTTGCAAGTTTAGTGTTAAATTTTTTTTCCTTATTTTCAAATCTAACATGAGCTGTTTTCCTGTAACGATCAGTGAAGAAAGTGCTGGGGCAATTGACTAGTGTCTGGGGCAAGGATTTGGCTCCCTGGAAAATACAGTGTCTCCAGCCTTGCTAAACTCAGTCTTAGGGCTCTTTCATAGATTCTATCAGATTTTCTGAGTGGAAAGGAAGAAGTACAACTGCTTTTCTTCTCAGAAAACATGGAAATGGTTTGATCCTTTTGAATCTTGTTTTGAAGATGTGCTGTGTGGGACCAGAGCAGCTCTTAGTGTAGGCTTCAGTTTCCTTCTACGGAAGCAACACACACCATTCTGGGCACCCTGGCCAATGCTCCCTAGGTGAACATGAGCTTCTCTATCCTGGTGGATGGGGAAAGCTGCTAGTCCCTGTCCTGCTTGCACACTGGAGTTGCCATTCATCCTCTCCTGCTGGGGTGATGGCCTTCCCTGGCCTTGGGTAGCTTCCTCATGTGCCTGTGCTCACCGGTAGTCGTAGTCTGCTCAATACTGGAGCAGGAGCCTCTGTGGATATCCAGGGTTCTTTCCCTCTGCAGCTCTCTTCTCTCTGGTTCTCTGCCCTGCAAACACCAGCTGCTGGGATTCTCTGAATCAGAGTTTCAACTCCTAAAGTCCGAGTGTCTGCCAGGCTCCACCAGGAAACTCCACACACGACACTGGGCCAGCCGCATGACTTACCTTGTTTCCCAGTTCACACACCTCACTGTCCCTCACTGGCCCACAGCCAGTTTCTTTACACTCTGCAGTCCATATATTTTGTCTGGTTTGGGGGGTTCTTTCATGTGGCAGGACATATTCAGTCCCTATTACTCCATATGGAGGAACAGTTTCCCTTTGTAGAATCTGGGGAGCTCTGCCAGTGGTGACGTTGGCACTGGTCTTCAGCTTATGAAGATGACACTTTCCTCTCTCCCTCTCTTTTGCTCTTATTCCTTTCTTCCTTTCTTAATATTTTTTAGACATTAATTATTGATGAATAGTTGACAGTATAGATCTTTCACTTTTTTTTTTTTTTTTTTGAGCCGGAGTTTCACTCGTTTCCCAGACTGGAGTGCAATGGTGCGATCTCGGCTCACTGCAACCTCTGCTTCCCGGGTTCAAGCAATTCCCCTGCCTCAGCCTCCCAAGTAGCTGAGATTACAGGCATGCACCACCATGCCCAGCTAATTTTGTATTTTTAGTAGAGACGGGGTTTCTCCATGTTGGTCAGGCTGGTCTCAAACTCCTGACCTCAGGTGGTCCA